ATCAGATGAGGGGGAAGCAGCAAACCGGTCCGGGAAAGGACTGCCTCTAAATAGCCAATGCAAAGGGCAGCCAGCAGACGAGGTGGCCGAGTGGTTAAGGCGATGGACTGCTAATCCATTGTGCTCTGCACGCGTGGGTTCGAATCCCACCCTCGTCGCAGTGCCTTTTGCTAGAGGAGGGGTGCACTGCAGGGTGGGAGGTAGCTGGGACATCACCCCCACGCTGGAGCCCCGAAGGGGTAGTGCAGCACCAGGCCCGGGCTTGTCCCTTGCAGCACTGGCCACAGGGGCCAGGAGACCTCTGCCCTAAAGCTTGAGGGGCCTAGAGGGGCTGGAGGGTGCTGAAATGAAAGCATTATGGGGATAACCCCCTCTCCATAGAATCTACAGGCACTCCCTAGGCCCCAGCGGTGGTGAGGTTAGTAAGCCCTTGGGAAGGAAGCTGGGGCCAGGGAAGGTGTCCTTGACCTTCCCTATAGAAGCAGAAAAGGCACCCAACCCACGGCTGACCACTGCTGCCCCAGAAGCAGCTGGTTAGAGGAGGTTGATGCAGGTCACATGAAACATCCTAAAAAGCTTTTGGGTTTATGGGAGGGGATAGTGGAAGTAGCAGTAGGTCAACAAAAGCACTAGGGTAAAGCAGAGCAGTTTTACTTGTTACTAAAACACATCATCTAGCACAACTCAACCCATCATCTCCAAACTTTGCTAACAGAACAGCCTCAGAGAGCAATTTCTTCACTTCTTATTTCAACTTAAAAATAGAATAGCCAGAGTAGCTTAATATTAGAGAATACAAGTAGTATTAAAAACTTTTTTGGGAAGGGGACTAACATGAAAAAAGAGACAATCATCTTCCATCATTCCTGCATGTGTTTTACTAAGGACTGAAGAAAACATCCTGCTTTTCAGCATGAGTAGCTTTGCAGCTGATTTGTGACTAATGCCGTAAATATTCAACAAATAAAACTTGGACCAAGAAGAACATATCTTGTTTTGCATGGATCATTAATAATTATAACACAGTGATATATTGTAATTACTTGAGAATGACAAAATAAAAATATTCTCGAGCAGCAAAACAACTGAAAACCAAGGTACTGCAGGAAGGTAACTTCTGCATCCAGCAAGCACAGAGTTGGGACAGCATCCCCAGGACTATGACCATGGAGAGAGACTACCAGTAGTATTCTCCTAACGGTATTTCAAGCGAAATTCAAGTCTGGGCCCAATGTTGGCTCCGTGCACACACACCTGGGGGTTTAACAGTGTTGCAGCAGGGGGAGAACACCACACACAAAAACTAGATGCAAGGGGTATAGGGGAGGCCTTGACTCTGCATCTACATCCTGCTCAAGAGCCACGAGCTAGGACACAAGGTAGATAGTTCATTGGGCAACCAATTCATTGTCTCACACAGCTGGTCATCAGCTAATGAGCTGGTTAAGAAAAAAAAAAAAATCACCAGAAGGTCAACTACAAGCTTCCCAAAAAACAGGATCCAACTCATCTCCATGCCTGTAAAATCAGACAGGTTAAAAAGCAGAAACCCTAGGCCAGCCAAACTCTAGTTTTGAGCTGAAGGGGCACGCTAAGCCAAGACACCTTCGCTGTTGTAAGGCAAGCACACAAGAACAGCCTGGGACCCATGTCTGCTCTGTGTTCTTCTGCAAGGACAGCTGCTTTTATTTAACAAACCTCAGTGCTTTGGCAGGTGAAGCGCCTGGCCCTGAATTTCTTTATGAAGCAATGAAGCTTTATGAAGATGTGTGTGGTCTGCACACACATCTCAGCCCTGCTCAAATATCCACCATGTCCACCAGAGCCGAGAGGTGGAGCTCAGCAGCAGCTTCGGCCTCCTTGTTGGCTTTGAGCAGCCTCTCCAAGTGTTTCAGTCTGTCTGACAGCGCCGGGCTTCGCTCCGCCGCCAACAGCTCACGTCCCACCTGGCTCCCAGCCTGGCCAGGAAGAAAAGGGAGATGAGACTCACAGAGAAGCGTTATCCAGTACCAACAGACAGGTGAGCTCAGAGACTACCCCCTCACTTTTTACAATAGCCACAGGCATCACCCGACCTCCCACAAAGGAGGGACAGCAAAGATAGCATATTCTGCCCTGGCCCCAGTCTTCATCTGAAAGACGACAGCCCACAGAGGAGATTGGAGTTAGAGTGCAACACCACAATCAATGCTCTTCACACTGTCTTAAGCAGAAAGCAGTAACACTTGTGAGAAACCTGTATTTCAGATCTGCAAGAAGCACCTCCCTCCTTGACAGGAAGTTATTATCGAAGCATTACCTGTGAATTCTGCATTCCCACAGGCTGACACTGCACACCCATGCTAATTCCCACTGACTTAATAGCTATAGACTTCAGCTATTAAGTCTGCTGCATTTTATAGCTTAATAGCTATAGCTCTGAAGGCCTTGTGGAAGCAGCTTCTCCGTACCACCTTCTCACCTCTTGGGCAGATGACATGGGACTCTTCAATGGATACGTGACAGGTGGCATGGAGACCAGAGACTGAGGAAGGTAAAGAGGAAGACCTACGAAGTCACCAAGCGGCTCCATGTCTTCAGCTAGGTGTTTATGCAACTGTTCTTCAAACCTGGAAGGAAGACCCAAACTACCAGTCAAACCATGACCCAGCTTTGTTCTCGTTACCAGCTGGTTAAGTGGGAGCTGGAACCTCAGAGGTGCCTGCAAGAAGAATCCAATGCTCACAGTGGTTTCCAACACTCAACATGTCCCCACTCCTGTTGGCAAAACCCATTGTAAAACGCTGTGATACAGAACACCATGCAAGATAACCAACTCACGAAAGCAGAAAACACACCACACACTCTTTAGCCAGCCTCAAAATAATTAATTCCTTGGCTTCATCCCCTTTTCTACGGGTGCAGAAGTTGCAAGATAGAGACCGCCTTCTCAAAGTAGACTTTAGACATCTGTGGCATTTCAAGACACAGCATGTGAGCACCTGTATGCTTCCATGTCATCTT